GATTTGTGTCAAGTAGGTTTCAAATGAATGATAAATTTGATAAAAACAAAATAAAAACACGAGACAATGGAACATAATCCAGATATTACTGCCGCGTATTTTGTTTTTAAATACATTCATTGTTTATGACAAAAAAATTGGGCGTTTAGTTGCTGACTATTATCTATCTCTTTTTTAAGATATTTTTCATATCTACGATTAATTTTTGTTATTATTGTTATTTTTTTATTTATTATGAATACCTCCGTAGATAGATGCTCGTTGTGGAATTTTTTCAAAGGGTCATCTAGTAATAAAATGACTTGTATTTATATCCGGCACATTCGGAAGATGTTTTTCGAGTCATTTTTAGTGATAATAACTCTTTCTTACTTAGCTGGCTTGTAACAGAACTGTCGTTCCATAAGCCGAGCTTAAAAAAGATTTCCAGGCCCGTCGGTCTTTTGCGCAGTTTTACCCATTTGAAAAACCATATTCGACAATGTTGTCTTCCACTTAATTTTTTCATTTATTTGTGGCCTTCCCCTTCTGCGTGAACCATCAGCTGGTTCGCTTTTATATGCCTTTTGACTGGGACATCTTCAGTCATTCTCACAACATGACCTAGCCAACGTAGTCGCTGCAGATCAATACGTCTAAAAATGCCGATGTCCGAGAATAGCTGGTACAAATTCGATCGGTACATAGATCTTTCGGAGAAATTTTCTCTCAAAGACTCCAAGAGCTACCTTATCTGCTTGCGTAAGTACCCATGCTTCAGATCCATATAAAAGAACGGGTAGAATCAGCGTCTTTGTAGAGTGTGAGTTGGGTCTAGCGGGAGGTGGCCTAGCTTTTGTGTTGCTCAGACCATAGTAGCACCTGTTGGCCAACACTATCCTTCTCTGAATTTCAAAACGGATGTCATTAGTTTTATTTATGGTGGTATCAAGGTATATAAAATCTTTGACTAGCTGTAGTTCTCAAGTTCCCACAGTTGGTCCGAGTCTACAGGATGTCTTGCGCGTTGATACCATCAGCTTGGTCTTCTCGCCGTTTACTGCCAGACCCACTTTGGCAGATTCCTCAATTTGTTCAAAAGTGGCTGTTACGGCTCTCAATGTTCGACCCATTATGTCGATGTCATCGGCGTAGGCGAGTAACATGTGTTGTTTGGTGTACGGAGTGCCATTTCTGTTCACCTTTGCCTATCGTATGACCTTTTCCAGCAGGATGTTAAAAAGGTCGAATGCGGCTTTATAGTTCACGAATAGGTGGAATGTGTTTTGTGGGTTTTCACCAGGATTTGACGCAGAGTGAAAATCTGATCAACGGTGGATTTGGCAGGTCTGAAGCCGCATAGGTATGGTCCAATAATGTCATTGACTTCAGTCTTTCACACAGCACGATGGATAACACTTTATATGCGATAGGAAGGAGACTTATCGTAGGTGGTATACACTCTATACCGTCATATATTATGTTGTTGTTGTAGCAGCCCTATTGCTTTTACACAACGGGCTGAGGTGACAGACGTTGGCCGAGTAAGACTCGGGTCGTTTCGGATCGTAGACCCCTCTGTCGTGGAAACGTCATCTATTATTGGTTCTAGGGTATCCTCTACAGCTCTACTACTTGATACCAAAATATTTTCAAATTGGTTTCAATTATAGATATGTTTAAAATTACACTTTGTTTTCTCCAAAATTAAAGGGGTCAGCCATTGCAACAAACTCTTCGTTCTCTGAATGTCACATTATGGAACAAACAGTGAACCTGTCTCATTAACTAGTGTATTTTCCATGAACACATAATTATACATATTTACCAACATTCACACAGTCCTATATTTTGGGTGGCATCTTCTATTTAATTAACCATTGTACCCGCACAGTCAGCCTGACAGCAGCACCACTGTCGCTGCTTGTTGTTGATGAGAACACAAATCCAATGATGACGATGATGATAGTTGACAGTTGTTGTGATCGTGTAACGAACAACAGAACCACGAACAACAATACAATTTCTTTTGTTATCCACTATAAAAGTTGTAATAGTTACTCCCCTCAATTCGGATTTTTTTTCACAAATTATCTACATTGTATTGTGTAGCTTTTTTTGTATAATTTCTTTTATGCATGCCATCACCATCACCCATGATGATGTATCGGAAGGGGGAATCCGTTCCAAGTTGACTCTCTCTGTATCTCTATATGCATATACATACAAAGACAGTAATTAAATTCTTTGTATTTTGTTCATTTCCTGTACAACAAAATCATACTTACATTACTATTCTGGCTTGCATTATTAGGTCGGAATTTTAACATAAGCTTTAGTTGTTGCGGTTCGTTGAGTGGGAATTGTGCATCATTATGACGTTACTATTCGTGGTTTAAGAGGTAATTTCTCATTTTATATCTAAGTTAAATGAAATATATTGCGGAAAGTTTTAATGGAAGATTTTTCCGTTCCTCTGATACACAAATATCTTAAAATTTAGGAAAGAAAATCAATGCGGGCCTCTATATTGCTGCTTTGATGATAATAGCTTTGTTTTGTCTTGCCATAACATGCATCAGCTGTTATCAAAACAATGATGATGTGTTCACTCATTTCATATGGGAAAGAGAGAGAATGAGAATGCAATTGACAATTTGATGACACCTGTTATTTATGCGTTTTTGCTAATTAATAAGGCAGCTTTACACTATGTGATTTGTTGTTGTTTGGTCATTCAAACAAACCAAAATAGAAATCAGGATATGTTAATGAGAGAGAGTGAGTATATATGGGAGAATTTTCAAATAAACATGTTAAGGGATTATACTGTGTCAAATGATATTGTTCAATTAAACAAAAAAAAAAAAAAATAGGTTTTCTAGGATAGAGAGTGAGAGTTCCAATATGATTAAAGAGAGTTTCTAAACCGTTAAACCTGGTTTACATTATGTGATTTAAAAGGAATTTTTATTTTCAATTAACGTAAATATTATTTTTAAAATTAATAGAAAATTATAATAAAAATAAAATAATTAAAGAGAAAATACTTTTTTCGTGTATGTGATAGGTAGGAGGTTTATCATTGACCATATATAATAGAACCCCCAAATAAAGTTCTGCTGAAGAGAGAAGTACTTCTTCTATGGACTGTGACGAAATTCCTTATATATGTCATCTATAGACATACAGTTGAAAACCTACTGTACTTCAATATATATAATATCTTCTACATATATCCTATATAAATAAGGTATTTACAAGTCTTCTTTAGATAGAAAATTTTTACATGTCTTCTATAGTCAAAAGACCTATAGACCTTCAGTAGATATACTACGTGGGTTACTATATATTTATTTTTTACATTCAATAATTAATCTTCCGGTCTAATAATTAGAAATTGAATATTTATAATTAAAAATTATGTTATTGAAAATTTTGGTGCAGTTCCCATTAATGGTACCGCCCAAAATAGTCGAGACGTCGAGTTTTTCATACAATTTTCTTTTTCAATCGAAATTGCTGTATTTTGATATCTAGAATTCACATTTGGTGCACTGTTTGGTATAACTCCCATCAACGTTACGAAAAATAATTGGTAATTTAAAGACTTCCAGGCACGTTTTTCAACCGATGATGCTAATTTGATAATTTTTTGTTTCTTATCCTATCGAAAATTATTCATATCGGTCCATGATTGTTTCGCTATTTTGAGGATTTCAGAATTAAATTGAATTAGCTGCAATTTGATATTTTGAGTTCTTCTTGGATGGGAAGAAAAAAAATGTGCAACCTAATTTTCTTTTTTGGAAAATATGAAACTGCAATATGAATTAACGTATTAGTTATAATTTGATAATTTAAGTTCTTATTGGGTGGTAATTGTTTCTACAAAAAATTGTCAATATTGGTCCCCACAACATTGTTGTAGCCCCCCATATAACGTTTCCCTCCTATAATGGGTATATTGCAGATTCTAGATATGTTTTTCAAGCGATTTTGTTTTATTTTGAGTTCCCCAAAAGGTTCAGATTCTGTATAGCTATGTTAATGGTTCTAGACGAAGTGTATATATTTTTTGGATATTACAAAATTTAGCATTTTCGGGATCTTGGTATATAAACAAGTTTCTACCTAGACTCCCTATAAATTTCATGCGTCATTTTCGGTATGTTCAAGGTTCTAGACCAAAATTTCCAAATTTAGTTTCTTTAGTTCTTTTTGTTATTTTACTCCTCCTGGCAGCATTTGAAGATATATTGAATGTCCACCTCATGTTGAAAGATGGTTATATAAAATTCGATCCGGCCGAACATAAAGTTTTTTTGTTTATTTAATATCCATATCTCCTTTATTTTGAAGGCTGTCCTCATAGTTAAACACCCCATAAAGCCAAAAAAAAAAAAAATGCTAATAAATTGTTGTTAATATCGTTATCTCGAAGGTCCTCTTTTGTGGACAAAAACAAACAATTGTACAAAATTTCAAAAATAGTTCCCTTGAGGCAAATAATTGTAATTTTATGTTGTGTGTGCTGCCGCCATGTAATAAAGTTTAATTTCCTAAGGGCCCAGGATTATTATTTCATGAGGTAAAATTAACATGAAAAATGGTGTCGACATAATTTGGGGGCCTAAATTTCACAATGAAGGACAGTTTGGTAGTCATAGGAATTAAAATAAAATGGGTTTTATTGCATTCTAGAAATATGAAGAGTTTCGAAAAAGAAGAAGGCAACTCTGCTACAATTTGGGAGAAACCCCAATGAAATTAGATTTTAAATATATAACATTTTGAAATTGTTTTTTAAATTTAAATCGCCATCACCTTCATAACAATAACATACATTTCCTCTGACCTTGCCAACTCATAAACACCTTTTTTGTTTTCTTTTGTTTTGCATATTCCATCCTTTCACCCCCTCATTCATTTAATTAATTGATCAATTTCCACTTGCAATCATTTTCTTTTTGTTTTTCTTTGTATAAAACATTTAACTAATTTGATTTTTGTACTTCCAGTTGTTCTAATTGGCGATTCTGGTGTCGGCAAAAGTAATTTACTTTCACGTTTCACGCGCAATGAATTCAATTTGGAATCGAAATCAACGATTGGCGTGGAGTTCGCCACACGTAGCATAGAGGTAAGTAACAGTGGCAAGCAAATATATACACAAAAAAATAGATGTGAATAACAAGGAGAAAAAAAGGAGGAGCAAAAAGAAAACAAAAATCTTCTCATGTGGACAAAAGAAAGTATTAAGCAGCAGCAAAGGCTGCGAACAAAAGAATGGCATCAGCGAAAAAAGCAAACAATGATTGCTGCACAAGGAACACTAACAGTGTATTCCTCCATTGAAGCGGTAGAAGGTTATTTGGGGAACTACGCCAGCACATAACTTGTGGGTGGGTGGGTGGTCTGTACTGTATGAAAGGTCAGTGGGTTGTGTAGGGAGATTTTTATTGATTTTTTGTCAACAGAATAAAACACACATTCACATAAATGATCGAAATGTAAATTTACAACAACCACAACAAAATTGTTACATCGAAATTGTAGTTCAATGTTTCAATTTCCATATACACAACCCACTAAGTCATCTACACACCCACCACCCACCAATCATTCTCTCACACACATAAAAAAATAAACTCCTAACAAAAGGTTAAATAAAATTGTTTAGGTCAGGGATATATTAGAAAAAAAAAAAAAAACAAACAAAAAAGGAAAGAATGACAACATAAAGGTTTTACCTACTAGCGCCACTTGGCAACAACCTCTCCTTTAACATGTATGTATAAATGACAAATGCAATGGGATATAATGATGGAACACAGGACTACAGAATTCACGAAATCTAAAAAATTCAAAATTCACGAAATCCAAAAAATTCCACAAAAAAGTTCTTCTCTGCTCTCATCGTGTTCTTTAAAAGATATGCCTTATAGAAAATATAATCGATAACTATGTTTTCTTCACAATATTTTCTATACAAAATGAATCGATAAAGTTATATTTTCAAAGAAAACTTTATCGATAACAATATTTCCTATACAAAATATAATCGATAATGTTATATTTTCAAAGAAAACTTTATCGTTAACAAAATTTTCTAAAGAAAATGTCGTCGACGACAACAATTTCAGTTGAAAATACTATGGTTTGCAATTTTTTCTATTGAAAATAAAATCGATAACAACAATTATCCTTGAAAATGTGATCGATAACAACAATTTCTATAGAAAATATAGTTTTTCTATAGAATATATTGTCGATAGCAAAATTTTCTATAAAACATATAGTCGATTTCTACAATTTCCATGGAAAATGTTTTCGATAACAACGATTTCTGTAGGAAATGTTGTCGATGAGAACAATTTCTATAAAAAATGTTGTCGATAACAATATTTTGTATAACAAATAGTGCCGACAAGGTTCGATATTAAAAAATTATGTTGAAAATTTTGCGGATAACACTATTTTCTATAGAAAATGTTGTCGATAACACTATTTTCTATAGAAAATGTTGTCGATAACACTATTTTCTATAGAAAATGTTGTCGATAACACTATTTTCTATAGAAAATGTTGTCGATAACAATATTTTCTATAGAAAATGTTGTCGATAACACTGGATTCTATAGAAAATGTTGTCGATAACACTGGATTCTATCCAGAATTCATCGATAACAATGTTTTCTATATCAAATAGTGTCAATAACAATATTTTCTCTGGCAAAATGTGTCCATAAAAACAATTTCGATAGAAAATGTTATCGATAACACTATAATCTATTAAAAATCTTATCGTTATCAATATTTTCTATAGTAAATAGTGTCGATAACACTATTTTGTATGATTTTTATATTATAAATACTGTCGGTAATAATATTTTCTAAAGCAAACAGTGTCGATAACAAAATTTTCTACGAAATATGTTGACAATAACAAATGTTTCTACGAAAGTTATTGTTGATAACTCTATTTTTAATTGAAAATAGTAACGATAATCCTATTGTCTGTAGAAAACAGTATCGGAATTTTATAGAAAAATTCTATCGATAAACAGTATTTTCAATAATATGTTTCGGTAACACATTTCACTATAAAAAATAATATTGACAACACTATTTTCCATCGAAAATAGTATCGATAACACAATTATCTATAGAAATTTTTATTTATAACTCTATTTTATATATAAAATAGAGCTGAAAACAAAGTTTTATATAGACAATAATACCGATAACACAATTTTATATAGAAATATTTATCGGAAACCCCTTTTTCCATTGAAAATAGTATCGATAACAGAATTTAGTATTGAAATTTGTACACACAATTTGAATTTGAACACAATTTTGTATAGAAATCGATAATTCAATTATTACCGAAAACAGTAACCATAACACAAACTCTATTTTTTTAGGCATTGGTATCGATAACTTTATTTTCTATAGAAAAAAGTACCGATAATACAATTTTTATGTAGAAAACCGTACCGATAACAAAATTTTATATAGAAATTAATATTGTTAGTTCTATTTTTAATTGAAAATAGTACCGATAACACAATTTTAAACAAATTGATATCGATAACACAATTTTCTAAAGAAAATATTATCGGTAACACAAGTTTCTATTATTAATAGCATCCATAATAGAAGTTTCTATAAAAAAATTCTTACCGATAACAACTTATTTAATAGAAAATAAAATCGATAATAATATTTTCTACAGACAATTTTACGGTCTAAATCGATCTTTATTAAATATATCTTCGATATTAACGGTATATATATATATATATAATGTTTTCGATAACAATATGTTTCTTTTGAAAACATTACCGATAACAGCATTTTTTATAGAAAACTGTATCGTTAGCCATATTATCGATAACATATTATATACACATATTATCCATTACATTTACATATACCTGATAAGTTTGAGGTTTACAATTTCTTTTCTTAACGAGATATTTAGAATTTTTCTTCTCATTTTTTTTTTGTTCACCAGTGTAAAAACATTTACTTTGAAATATAATGGGTTTTTTTATTATGGAAAAATGACACCATCGACCTTTATTTTTTTGCTCTTTTCTCTGGACGTTTCCTTTTAATTTTCATAAAAGCTTTAAAGTTATTTTTTTTGTGTGTGTGTTTAAGAAAACCAACACAAATGTGGCAAACATGTGTGGTAATGGTACATATGTATGTATATGGCTAACACGCCTTACATACAAATTTACTATTACTAAACATGACAACACCTTAAAAATGTTACTAATTTTGATATATTTCTTCTCTCTCTTCCTTTTTCCTTTTTCTTTTCTACAAAAACATATAAAAAATTCTACCCCCTACCCACACATCCACACGTACACTCATATATTGCTGCTGACCCTCTCATACAGGTTGATGGTAAAACAATTAAAGCTCAGATCTGGGACACAGCCGGCCAGGAGCGTTATCGTGCTATTACATCGGCCTATTATCGTGGAGCTGTTGGTGCTTTGTTGGTCTACGATATTGCAAAACATTTGACATATGAAAATGTTGAAAGATGGTTGCGGGAATTGCGTGATCATGCCGATCAAAATATTGTCATTATGTTGGTGGGTAATAAGTCCGATTTGAGACATTTGCGGTCAGTACCAACGGATGAGGCTAAACTATTTGCCGAACGTAATGGCTTGAGTTTCATTGAAACATCAGCGTTAGATTCTACTAATGTTGAAACTGCATTCCAGAATATACTCACAGGTAATGAAGTCAATTTTCATTCAATTCTTTTTAATTTATAAAAAATTAATTTGTTGTTTTGTTTTCTTTGTTGTCTTTTTGTAGAAATCTACCGTATTGTTTCGCAAAAGCAAATACGTGATCCACCAGAGGGTGATGTTATTCGTCCTGGCAATGATGTACCCATTGATATTAAGCCGACTGTTACTAATAATGTACCCAAACAATGCTGTCAGTGACCGCCTTATAGCTGCCCCTCAATCCTACAACAACAACAACAACAAAAACAAAACCAACAACTATTACACCTTTATTCAAGAACACGCTAAAAGCCCATGTTATAATTTTTCTTCTTATTCCTTTCTGTTTTTGTTTGTGTAACATCTCTTATTTCCTCCTTTTTTCCATATTTCTATTCTTTAAGAAGCGTTAATTAGTGCAAACAAACAACAACAACAAGCAGTTAAAATAACAAAAACTACAAAAACAACAACAAAAGAAATTATTATTATTATTCGTATTATAATTGTATTGGAAAGAAGAAATAAAGCAGCAATTTCCATCGTGTTTGCTTTTTTTATATGTCCACTTCATTAAACACGAAGAATCGAACTTTTTAATTATTAGCTTCATTCCATTTTTTTGTTTAGCCATGAATAGTAGTTTTCCATTGTTTCCTCTTTTCTCTTCAGTTTTGCTATGCCAATTTTTCCTTTTGGTTCTATATTTCCACTTGTGTTTCTTTTTACTTCTCCTTAAATTTGCAAACCGACGACCGAGACACACAAATAGTCCACTTGAAGGAATAGGAAAAAAATCAAAATTATTGCAAGAAGAAAAACGCAAAAATAATACGATTTTTAAAAAAACCTAACATCTCGTTTGCCATTCAAACGAGTCAAAAAAAAACGTTTATCAATTAAAAACAACAACAACAAGAAAATTATTACGTAAAATTACTATAAACAAATAACAACAACAACTATTTCTTCTTAGTTTAGCTAGATTTGTTCTATTTCTCTTCTACGATTTCTTCTTTTTAAATTGAAAATGCCGCCGAGAATTCCCTGGTTCTTTTCCTGATACTCCCCTCCGCCCCCTAAACTTAATTGTCTGTCAGTATATATTATGTTTTGCATTCAAAATTTATTATTTTTTTTTTCGAAAGACTTCTATTTAAGTTTTGCCTCTTAATAATTTTTTTATATATATATAAAAATTTAATATTTTTACATTTTAAATTTATAAACAACAACAACAAAAAACGTGAACATGAAAAATTTAAAAGCAAAAATATATATAATATTAATTAAAAAATATTTGAAAAAAAAGTAAATATATATATTTGCGCGTAATTTAAAAAGTAAAAACAACAACAACAAATAAAATTTAAATATAATTTCAAATGAAATAAAAATAACAGAAATAAACTTTTGTTTTTTTTTTTTTAATATGGGATTGGAATAAAAGAGGTTAAATAATTTTGTCAGAAAATTCAGATAAGGTCAATAGGCGAATTTTCTCGAGAGAAATATTTATCGATAGCAATACTTTATAAAGAAAATATCATCGAAAAAAATGTTTTCATAGGGAATTTAATCGATAACAATAATTTATATATAAAATATGATCGATAACAGCTTTTTGTAGAAAATATTATCGATATCAAGATTTTGTATAGATAATATTTTCGATAACACGTTCTCCTAACGTAAATAGTGTCGATAACATGATTTTCGATAGAAAACATAATCGATAACAAGATTTCCTATATAAAATATAATCGATAACAATATTTTCTATAGAAAATTTGAATAACAAAATTTTCTAAAGAAAATATCACCGATAACAAGATTTTCTACAGAAAATATTATCGATAAAAAAAATTTCTAGAAAATATAATCGATAGCAATATTCTCTAAAGAAGATATCATCGATAGCAAGACTTTCTTTAGAAAATATTATCGATAACTATTGTTTCTGAAGAAAATATAATCGATAGGAAGACTTTCTTTAGAAAATATCGACAAAAAAAATTTCTAAAGTATATAAAAGTATTCTATTGAAAATATCGATAGCAATATTTTCTATAGAGAAATGAATCGATAACAATATTTTCTAAAGAACAATCGATAACAATATTTTTTTAAAGAGAGCTTTATCGATAACTAAATTTTCCATAGAAAATATCTTTGATAACGATATATTCTACAGAAAAAATGTTTGTAAACAATATTTTCTATAGAAAATATCTTCGATAACAATATTTTCTATAGATAATATCTTCGATAACAATATTTTCTATAGAAAATACCTTCGATAACAAATTTTCTTTAAAAAATACCTTCGATAACGATATTTTCTATAGAAAATATCTTCGATAACAATATTTTCTATAGAAAATATCTTCGATAACAATATTTTCTATAGAAAATATCTTCGATAACAATATTTTCTATAGAAAATATCTTCGATAACAATATTTTCTATAGAAAATATCTTCGATAACAATAGTTTCTATAGAAAATATCTTCGATAACAATATTTTCTATAGAAAATATCTTCGATAACAATAGTTTCTATAGAAAATATCTTCGATAACAATATTTTCTATAGAAAATATCTTCGATAACAATATTTTCTATAGAAAATATCTTCGATAACAATATTTTCTATAGAAAATATCTTCGATAACAATATTTTCCATAGAAAATATCTTCGATAACAAATTTTTCTATAGAAAACATGATCGATTACAAATTTGTTTGAAAAAAAAATATTATCGATATAAAGATTTTGTATGGAAAATATTTTCGATAACACGTTCTCCTAACAAACATTGTGTCTTGGCCAGATTTCGATAGAAAATATACACAAAACAACACATCTATAATAAAATTTCCTATATAAAACATAATCGATAACAATATTTTCTATAGAAAATATGAATAACAAAGTTTCCTAAAGAAAATATCACCGATAACAAGATTTTCTACAGAAAATATAATCGATAACAAAATAACATAGCAAATATAATCGATAGCAATATTCTCTAAAGAAAATATCATCGATAGCAAGACTTTCTTTAGAAAATATTATCGATAACAATAGTTTCTAAAGAAAATATATTCGATAACAAAAATGTCAACAGCAAATATCATCGGTGAAAATTATTCTATAGTAAATATCATCGATAACAATATTTTCTACTGTAACGGTAACAATATTTTCTATAAAACAATATCGATAATTTTTTTCTAAAGGTAACACTATCGATAACAATAATTTCTGAAGAAAATACCATCGATAATATTTTCTAAAGAAAACTATATCGATAACAATATTTTCTGAAGAATATGCCATCGATAACAATATCTCACGTAGACGTAATAGTCGATAACTAAATTTTCTATTGAAAAATGTCTTCGATAACAATATTTTCTAAAGAACACATTATCAAAACTGTATCGATAACAATATTTTCTAAATAAACTGTATCGATAACAATGTTTTCTGTAGAAAATGCTATCGGTTATAACATTGTTTTCAAAATAATAGTTTCGATAGCAAAATATTATAAAAAATTTACTATCGATTACATGTTTTTCTATATAAAAAATCTCGATAACAGAACTTTCTTTAAGAAAATGGCATTGATTCTATTGTAAGCAGATTATACAACAATCCTTTATAAAGAAATAATTTACAAAGTGAAAAGCGAAATATTGATTAATTGAAAAATAAATCTCTATAAAATATCGATAACAAAATACCATTAAAACTACTTATTTTCATCTGTAAAATATATATAAAACATATTTTTTTATTATTTTACAAAATAATTTTCAATACAGTAACGTAATTTTTTTTCCAAATATAAACCAATTCTGCAAATTATTTTCCTCTACATATCTTCCACACTATATTGATAGGCTTCATCTTGTCTAGCTCTGCGTTCATTTTGTTTATCGAACCAACGTTTTTCATAGCCATTGGAACGATCGACACCATCCCAACGATAACCGGGACGTATACCAAAACGATTTTCCGGAAATGGACCCTCATAGACAGGCTTCTGCGGCTCATTGGAGGCTTTCTGTTTTTCTTTGCGTTTTTGGCGCATATATTGCAACATAGGATCCTCAGCTCGTTCCTGCTCCTTTAGGTAGCGTTCCAAATCTTCATCGTTGGCATGACGTGCCAATGGTTTACTTGCCTCATGAGCCATTTCGGCTTGACGATTTTTAAAGTCTTCAATTTGTTTGAGACCCTTACCCAATCGTTCGTAGTGCTCCTTACGTTTCTGTTGACGTTCCTCTTTAAGACGTCGTTCTTCGGGATCTTCTTCGCGAGCCTCACGTGCTCGCCGACCTTCACGGCCAATTTTACGTACACGAATTTCAGCATCACGACCCGACACATCCGAAGACATTTTATCGAAAAGCAAATCCTCTTGTTGGCGACGCTTGAGTGTCTCCTCCTTAAGGGCTTTGGCATCTTGTAGACCCGCCTTTTTACCATCTAAGGTTTTTGTGACTTTGGGTTTATGTGTGGGCGGTGGTGAGTTACTGTCACGGGAATCCTCTTTTTCCCAACGTGACTTTCTTTGTGCAGGCGGAGGTGATGGAGATGAGGGTTCCACAGATTGTTTTTCTCGTTTTATATTACGTGGAGGTGTCGAGTCCCTATCTTTACGTCGACGATCAGGTGATGATCGATTGTTGTTGTAGGTACTTGTTTGTGGAGGTGAGAAATCTTTTCTTCGCCTTGGCGGTGATTGATCTGAGTCTCTTCTACTACGACCTTTTCTTGGTGGTGATTGATCCGATGAATCTCGCCTTCCTTTTCTAGGAGGAGATTGATCGGAATCTCTTCGCCGTCTTGGGGGAGATTGGTCTGGTGACCGTTTTCTTCCTCTTCTCGGGGGAGATTGATCGGAATCTCTTCGTCCCTTTCTAGGAGGCGATTGATCGGAATCTCTTCGCCCCTTTCGTGGAGGTGATTGATCGGATCCCCTTCTACGTCTTGGAGGAGAGGGATCTGGAGTTCGCTTTGTACCTTTTCTAGGAGGTGATTGGTCGGAGTTCCTTCTACGCCTTGGTGGAGATTGATCTGGTGTTCCTTTATTCCTTCTTGGAGGTGATTTATCGGAATCCCTTCTCTTACGCTGTGGCGACTGATCAGAATCTTGTCTTCTTCGTCGTACAGGAGAATCTCTTCCTTTGCGTGGAGGAGATTGATCTGAGTCTCTTCTTCGACGTGGTGAAGGTGACCTTTTACTCTTTCTAGGTGGTGATTGGTCGGAATTTCTTCTCTGCCGTGATGGTGATTGTTTTTCATTTTTTCTCGGCGGCGTTTGGCGCTCTCTCTTAATATCCCTACTATTTCTGGGTGGGCTTTGATCCAAAGATCTGGAACGTCTACCATTACTTGGAGACCGATTGAATCTTGATTTCCTAGCAGGTGATGGACTTCTTTTACGTCTGGTTGGTGGTGATTCATCCTTTCTTCGCCGGGGTGGCGATGGAGATGCATGTCTTTTCCTTGGTGGTGATTCGCTTGGACTACGTTTTGAACGTTTCTTCTTTTCTTTCTTGCGTGTGGGGGAATTGTCTGGTGTTCTTTTCTCTTTCTTTATTTCAATTTCTTGTTTGATTTTAATTTCCGATGCCTTCTTACCCCATAAATCTTCCTCACGAATGGTTGCCGCTCTTTCATTGTCTTCCGGTTCATCTTTAATCACAATACTTTTCCACTTGGGAATATTCTTGACAGCACCATGTATCTCCTCCGTGTATTCTCCAACAATTTGGGGAGCATCTTCCCCGGTCAATAGTAGCTCCTCGTCGATTTTTATGCCATCAGTTTCAACGAAATCATCATCGATAATTTTCACCGTAGCTCCACTAGTTTCCTTGTGTCCTTTCTTATGTTTATCCTTCTTCTTTTTCTTTTTAACTTTATCACCGGACAAATAACGTTTTAGATATTCCTTTTGGTCGATTTTAGTTGCCGAATGTGAGGACATTACTCTGTTGTTTTGGAGCGGCGGGGATTAGGGCATGCGTTGCTCCTAAACGTACACTAATAGTTCAAATGAATAATTCTGTGAAATGAACGCATGGAACTATGAACAAATGATGTGTATATTGTGAATAGGAGGGTGTAGTTGTGTTTACGAATGATTGTGCATGATTACAACAAACAGGAACAGTTCATGATATTAAATAAATACAACAAGTCATTTAAGATTGCTCTGTTATATGTTGGGATATCAAGGAAAATCTTTTGGGTATGTTTAGTTGATGAAATCTTTAGAGGGTATGTTTAGTCGATGAACAACACTAGAGTGTATGTTTAATCAAATACGGTCTTTAGGGTAGGTTAAATCAATGCTATTCTAATGAGTATGTTCAATGTATGTCAATCTCTTATTGGGTATGTTTAATGAATGACAGAGCCAAACAGTGATGTATAACGAGTATTAATGGAATTTATTCATAATTTTAACGGATTTGAGGCATACAAATGTTGATAATAGAGTATAATATAATTATATTTAATTATATGTTTATTTGATGAAATCTTTGAGGGTATGTTTAATAGATAGAGTGTATGTTTAGTCAAATACAGCCTTTAGGCTAATGATTATGTTCAATGTTTGGCAATCTCTCATGGGGTATGTTTAATGGAGAACAGAGACAACTAGTGTTGTATTTCGAGTATTAACGGAAAATATTTATAATTTTTAACGGATTTTAAGCCAATTTTTATATAAATTTGAATAATTGAATATATTAGAATTACAGTTAAATATATAGCAGGACTCACAAATTTCTAAATAAAAAGTCGAAAACAATTTCGATCATTAGAAGATTCGCCTGTAAAATAAAGTAAAAACTTCATGTATATTCATATGAAAGTGAAATAAAAACTTTAAATGAGAACCATGGTACAATCATACAAGTTAGTCTATAAAAACTTTCAAATAACGTCTAATTGTGGCTTGTTATGTCAAAGCCATATACAAAATGTGTAAATGTATGGGTAATGTTTTCAAAAATATAAAAAATATTTTATATTTATTTCGTTTGAAATATGCATTTTGCAAGGTCCTTAGGGAAGAAATTTAAAATTTATTCTGAACAAGAATCTGTATACTTTATCGGGTATCCGGCGATTATTTCACGGTGTTGTAAATGTAACGACAAATTTAATAAAGATTCCAACTTATGATTCAGGAACACAAAAACCCTCGTCAACATATTATGTTTTCGATTTTGCAGCTTCCTTGGAAATATCACATTCATAACACACATCAATCCAATTGTTAACCATGCTTTTAAGAAGTGGTTCATGTAGGTTTCTGAGACCTCACGATCATCACATAAAACCACAAATGCCGTTAATATGCACCTCTGTGGTTAGCGGAATCAGCAACATGCTGGAAAAGTATATCATCAAAATGAAAAAAAAACAAACTCTTTATAATGTGAATACTTTTTCTCCTCAACTTCGTTTCCTCTTTGGTGTTGGCATTTTCACGCTCACCGCTCGAAGTATATATTTGTTTTGTGGATGGATGGCACGCATGGAGCCCCATGTCATGGCAAAATGCATCACAAAACGTATGGCTAACAAGTCAATGAATAAAAAACAGGTTCAGTTGTGAAGGAAAGGAGCACAATATATGCTTACTGACTGGCCTGTCATTACGCACAGCAAATAAACATAGGCGAACACAAAAACCAGTATTGAACAAATAAAAGCGAGATAATTAATATTTAAGTGGAAAATCGCCGCGGAAAGTCAAAATAAATGTTAAGTGAGGAAATTATATAACAACGATGAGATATGCGAGGAAGGAAAAACGATGATACTGATGAAATATTACACTAGCGATATTCAAACAAGTTGGATAATTTCATATCCATGCCTGACAGTTTAAATCGAGTGTGAAAGATACAGATCTAATAACAGATATCATGAAAACTGGTTCATCACTTTAAATATAGCTTAAATGATGAAGAAGAGGAACGACAACAAGTTATGTTCTCTGTGATAACTGCTGGACGTTATTACATATTTGTAAAATCGCAGGATGAAATTACAGCGTTGTATTTGACATTGATAATTATGGGTTTGTTTGTTTTCTAGCATCGGACTAGTTAAATGTGAGCAAATTAATGATTACCACTGTCCAAAGAACTAAAAAGTCGTTAAGTTCGGTCGGCACGAACTTTTCATACCCTCCATCATGGCTCAATAAATATGTACTCCCATGATGCAATAATAAAGTGATGTATCAAAACAAAAACTCTTGCTTTTGTCTCGACGATCTGTCAAAATTTTCCTTATAATATTTCACATGGTTGGCAACATTGCACATCGAATTCAAGCAGAAAGTACGAACTTTGACATTTACTCGAGTCATCAGCAGCGCTAAACAAAAAAACGAGTGACTTTGAATGTGCGCACATTGTACAGAACTGGCGCAGTTATTGCTTTGGCGGATGTACTCAGGAAGTGCAAAACCGATATTTTTGCCTTACAGGAAATGCAATGGAAAGGGACTGGAGTAAGTAAATCAGATGATTACGTCCTGTATTATAACTGCTACGCAACGATACAGGAATTTGGAGAATGAAAGACCTCGTCTTCAGATTCACTCCAGTCGATGAGCGAAACAAAGACGAGATGAGCGCTTAGAAACACCATATGGCGTCTGCCCTGGTCATGACATTAAAATTCGGAAGGGAAAATGAATTTGGCCCCCCTGTCGGAAAATTTAGTCTCCATGAACAAACATCTGACAACGGCATGAGGTCGATTTACTTTTCGGCAGCAAAAAAACATGGCGGTTAGGAGCAGCAGATTCAAGTATCTCGATATACACAAGGCCACCTGGATTTGTTCCGATCAAATAACGACAAATAAAATTGATACGGAAGGCAACCATCCAGTGTTTTAACCCTTCGATCGATCTGAGGAGCGAATATCGATTCGAACCATTACCTTGTAGCAGCCAAGGTTCGCACTTCGTCTTAATGTAGCAGCAAGGATGCGATCTAATGTAACACAAAAACTTGACATCAAAAAGGCTGCAAACACAACAGTTAGCAGAAGGCTATTCCGCTCAACTTATCCACTTGCTAGTCGAAAGCACTCCTTGTCCCGATTATAACATAGAAGCAAAATAGCAAAGAATTGCCTATTCCCTACAAACTCCAGCAAAAACAACAATTGAGTACCAAAGACCATCATCAAGAAACCCATGCCATGGTACGATCAGGAGTGTCGTAATGCTAATGTGGTGAAAAATGGCACGTATGGGCAACCCTGCAAACAGTAGCAAAATTAAATGCGAGAGAGAATTATGAGGAGAATGAGAGAGAGGAGAAACTTATTTTCCGTGAGCAAATCGAGATGTACAGGAGTCAGAATGAAGTTCAGAAATTTTGCCGATGTGTAAAATACCAAACACTTTGGTGCCGGCACATCCTTCTGTAGAGATGAAGATGGAAGCCTTGGACAGATACAGATAGCATTTTGAGGATCTGAAAGCAGCATTTTGCAAAGCTTTTGGTATCATGTAGTAACGGTGAAGAAGATACCCCAGAACCCGTTAGAGATGATGGTATAGATTGTATAACACCTTGCCAAGATTAGGTGAGAATAGCAATTAGTCCGCTAAAGAATAATAAAGCAGCAGGTGCCGACGGATTGCCAGCCGAACTATTCAAGACCAGTGGTCAGACGCTGTGTCCCGTGTACTAAAAAGGCAGAAAATACGACATGTGTCAACAATAGAGTAATTAACCTCCTTCTTATCGCATATAAAGTGTTATCCAGCGCAAATCCTGGAAAAGACCCACGAAAACTCATCGACACATTTCACCTATTCGTCCACTAAAAAGCCGCATTCCACAGACCAATCCACTCAGTGGTATTTAATGCCATGTCTGCGTTCGGCTTTCCTGCAAAATTAATACGGCTATGCTGGATAACTTTAACTGGTAGGAAAGGACCTCTCGGAGCCCTTCAATACCGAACGAGGATTCAGACCAGGTGGCAGTTTGTCATATGACCTGTTTAATATCCTGCTGGAAAAGGTCATACGAAATGTAAATGTGAACAGCAATGGCACTCTGCACACCAACCAGCATATGTTACTCGCCTACGCCGATGACATCGATATAACGGGTCGAACATAGCGAGCGATAACAGCCACTTTTGAACAAATTGAAAAGGAGTCTGCCAAAGTGGGTCTGGCAGTAAACGGCGAGAAGACCAAGCTGATGGTATCAACGCGCAAGACGTCCAGTAGACTCGGACCAACTGTGGAACTTGAGAACTACAGCTTCGAGGTAGTTAAAGACTTTATATACCTTGGTACCGCCATAAATAAAACGAATGACATCAGTTTTGAAATTCGGAGAAGGATTGTGATGGGCAACTGATGCTACTATGGTCTTAATAAGCAGTTTAGAAACAAGGCCACCTCCCGCCAGACCAAACTCACACTTTACAAGATGCTGATACTACCCGTGCTATTATATGGATCTGAACAGTGTTGCCGAAAGTGGGCATAAAAAATGTAAAATTTATGACTTGGGCGGATTTTGGGCATTTTTTATTTTCATCAAATTGATATTTTTATATTTGTTTTCTCGATGTTGTGAGTTATATTATAGGCCCAAGAATTAATAAAGACGTAATATTGCTCCTTAAAGTATACCGATATATCTTGACCGTCTGCTCATTATAATTTGTAATTATGGATCCTACGTCATTTGCATGTATGTTCTGCACAAAGACGGCACCTATCGGTTAGGTCAATGATCGGTAAATATTTGGGCGATAAAATGGACCAACTAATTTATTTTTGGCTTTTTTCTGGCCCATCTAGAGATTGGTGTTTCCGACAGATATATACCCTTATACCCTTGGTGGATATTTTTTTTTTAAGTTGTGACTGTTTGTGGGAGAGGTATTACAGATGATGGTAGCCGATAATTGTCCTAAATT